TCACCATCCTCGTCGTCAACATCGTCCTCGTCATCATCAGCATCATCGTCGGCATCGTCATCATCAGCATCATTATCAGCATCATCATCATCGTTGTCACCTTCATCTTCATCTTCATCTTCATATGCTTCTTCACCATCATCAGCAACAGCGTCATCATCGTCGACGATGTTAGAATCATCAGCAGCACCACCATCTGCAGACCACAACATCGGCATCATCAACTTCACCCAATCCTCATCGCTTTCTTCACCGCTGTTCCTTCGAACCATGGGAACTCTGTTCTTCCTTAACTGTATGCAGCGCAGGGACTGGCGGTCCTTCATCTCTGGCGGTTTCTCCATCCAACCGATCCACAATATCTTGCAGCCCTCGGGTTTCTCCCCCTTCGGCCTAGTTCGCACCTTCACCGCGGCAAGAGAGGAAGGCGCAAGCGAGAAGAGAACGACCACTCTTGACACGTCTACAGTACTGTTCCCATTGTCTCTCTCCCTCTCTCTCTCTCTATTGTATCTCTCTCTCTCTCTTTCTCCCTCCCTATCTCTTGTCTTCTATGTATATATCTCTCTCTCTCTCTCTCTCTCTCTCTCTCTCTCTCTCTTTAAATATTTACACGTATGAAGAATAGAAATGCTACACATTATATTAACATAGAGAGAGAGCGATCTATATCTCATTCGCGCTTTTTTGCTCGCGTCCCCTACTCCCCTCTCCCGCTCGCTATCCCTCTCCCCGCTCTTTCGATCTCCCTCGTTCGGGTTGTACGTTTTCTTCTCTCGAGATGACTGCGGCTCTTTCTCGGTCGCCCTCCACATCCGCAAGAAGCCCACTTGAAGCTTCCAGATTACGAGGGCCCGCCGCTCACCACCTGCCCACTCCGCGCCGACCGCCCACCCGCCATCCAGACCCCACCCACCACTCACACACCCGACAACCGCCCAACCCACCCACCTGCCACCCTCACATCACCCACCGCACCTGGTCTGCACGCGGGGCCCACGCGGCAGCGGCAGCGCGAGCGGTCAAGAGCGCGGAAGAACGCGAGGCTGCCCAAGCGCTCGGACACCCTGGCGCCGTGTCGAGTTTGGTCACCGTCCATCTTGGACAGCGCCAAGTCGTGGATCATCCTCGCGAGTCGGCGGCGGCTGACATGGACCACGACCGAAATCGGCATCGACAAGATCCCGCGAGCATCTTGGTCATAGTCAATGCGCTTTTCCCTCGAGGACCAGCGAAAAATAATGGTTGCGCCAGCTGCTGTTGAGGCATCTGCGTGGCCAAATTCTGTCCGGGCTCGACGCGAGAGGCGCAGCGGGAGCGAAAAGGGCCTCGTGCTGCGCCGGAGGCCCAAGACAACCTCCCACCCTGCGGCCGATTCCAGAAACCCTGGACCCAAAAAGATTGCCATCCATTGAGAGGCACATGTTTTGCTTCCGCTGGCTTCCGCCGCGGCGGAGCCGCCCCAGTTTTGCTTCCGCCGCCCTTCGCCGCCTTCCGCCGAGGAGACGTAAACTCACTCGATCCTCGAAGGCAAGGACCTTTGTGGAATGCCTTAAGTAGAGGCATGCGGAAGGAAAGAGGTGAGTTTCAGCGCATGGGGGCCCACTCGAAAGACTGTACAATTTTTGTTGCGCTCCCATCGGAGCACAAAATGACCAGGCGATCGCCGATTCTTCGCCCTGACTGGGATCCAGAGAGGACGCACTGCGGCAGTAATGGCTCGTGTCACGGTGTGATAATCCAAAGCTACATTCTGTGCACATTTGAAGGACTTTATCGGCCACGCCGCGGGCCACATCCCCCCGTCCTCGCGGGCCCGAACACGGATGGAAAAAGCTGAACTGCAGCGCCTCCCACCAAACGCGCACTCCACCACTACCCCCCACCCAGCCACAACTTGTTCTCCGACAAGCGTTTGGACGGTCAGTACCCACAAAGGTCCTACGTCACGGAAGCCAGTGAATAAGCCACTGCTGTTGGACAGCGAACTCCGCGAAAGGACAGAAGCAGAAGAGAAGAAGGAGGCGACGGTGAGCCAAGGAGGCGGCACAATCCAGCTGTCCTCAGGAAAGGATCGGCAGCTGAACACCGCAGCAGAAGCGAGGCGAGAAAAAGCCAGGACCGAATAGCTAGACGAAGACTGCACCAGAGACACCAGATGCGGATACGTCGCACATTTAATGCGCCGTAGTTTCACACGAACAACTCATCCACCCATCCACCCCACCACACCGCAACCCACCCAGCGCTCACCCTCCACCCATGCATCACCGACTCACCAATCATCCACCAGCCAGCCACTTTCCACTCACTACCCACCAATTACACACAATCCACTACCAACACACCTTTCAAACTTTCACCCCTAAGCAGACCATCCACACATCCACCGCACCCACCGCCAACTGAACCACCCGCGCGATAGCCCACCCACCAACCACCCATCCACAAACCACTCACTCACGCACCCAACGGCCACCCTCGCACCGACCACCCGCCAACCACTGGCCAAGGAGGGTAGAGTAGAATGCAATGCAGATGATCGGAAGTGGGCGGAGGTCATCTCTCCCGTTCTCCTGACCACTTCCCCTACATCATCTGAATGGGCAGCGCAGGCGAGCGCGCTCAGATGCCACACAACATGGACGGACAGACCAGGCGGAGAGATCCCCGCCTCCTTGTCCCTGCCCGGCTTCGGCTGCCAGCCCTTGTCGGACCAGTCCCGCCAGCCCCCTTAGCAGTGACAGCTCCATACATTACAGCCTGGCGGACCTAACTCTGCCCAGCGCGGTGCACTGGAAAGAATCCCACCAGCCCTTTGGGCGTGAGTGGTTTAGGGAGCCCGCTCTGTTCTCAACCCCCCTTCTTCCCCTTCGGGGAGGGGTTTACCCCTCCCCCTACCCCCTCCCCCTGGACCTGGAGGGGGCCTTCCGCGGGTGGTCAGAGGGTCCTTTTTCTATCCCTGGGAGGGCTAAAATTCGACACCCCTCACGAGGATCGTCGCCCCCAGGGGGGGGACACTGAAAAATGCTCGCCCCATCTGCGACCGATCGCCCCCAAGATGGCCTCATCAGGCCCCCAAGACGCTCCAAGAGGCGACCCAGAGAGCCTTCGGACGTTCCCCAGAGGCTCAAAAGAGAGCCCAAGAGGCCCCAAAACGGCCTCCAAGAGGCCTCCCTATTGCCTTGGATACGACTACTCCTCCTACTACTACTACTACTACTACCCACTACTACTACTACTACTACTACTACTACTACTACTACTACTACTACTACTACTACTACTACTACTACTACTACTACTACTACTACTACTACTACTACTACTACTACTACTACTACTACTACTACTACTACTACTACTACTACTACTACTACTACTACTACTACTACTACTACTACTACTACTACTACTACTACTACTACTACTACTACTACTACTACTACTACTACTACTACTACTACTACTACTACTACTACTACTACTACTACTACTACTACTACTACTACTACTACTACTACTACTACTACTACTACTACTACTACTACTACTACTACTACTACTACTACTACTACTACTACTACTACTACTACTACTACTACTACTACTACTACTACTACTACTACTACTACTACTAACTACTACTACTACTACTACTACTACTACTACTACTACTACTACTACTACTACTACTACTACTACTACTACTACTACTACTACCTACTACACTACGACTACACCTACTACTATTACTACTACTACACTACGTACTACCACTACTACGCACTACGACTACTACTACTACTACTACTACTACACTACTGCTATTATTACTACTACTACTCCTACTCCAACTACTACTACTACTAACTACTACTACTACTACACTACGACTACGTCTACACTTACACTACTACTACTACTAACTACTACTACTACTACTACAAAACTACTACTACTACTACCTACTACTACTACTACTACCCGTACTACTACGAGTACAACGCCGACGTCTGCTACTACTACTACTAGTACTACTATTACTACTATTACAACTTCCACTATTATTACTATTACTACTACTGCTGATACTAGTACTAAGACTTCTACTACTACTAACTACTACTACTACTACTACTACTACTACTACTACTACTACTAGTATTTAACTAACTACTGTACTACACAATATTCCCACACTACTAACTACACGACAACAACTACAAGATCACCACTACTACTACTACTACCGATACTACCTACTACTACTACTACTACTACTACTACTACTACTACTACTACTATTACTACTACTATTACTACTACTACCTACTACTACTACTACTACTACTACTACTACTACTACTACTACTACTACTACTACTCGTACTTCTACTAAACCTAGTACTACTACTTCTACTGCTGCTGCTACGGGTACTACTACTACTACTACTACTACTACTACTACTACTACTACTACTATTACTACTACTACTACTACTGCACCAACATAAGAGACTACTACTACTACTACTACTACAAGCACTACTACTTACCACAACACTACTACTACAACTACTACATACTGGCTACTACTAGTACAACTACTACTACTGCTAACTACTGCTACACTCTACTACAACTACTAATATAACTACCAATACTAATTCTACTACGACGGCTACTGCTGCTACTGCTACTGCCTTGTGTTCACTGCTACTGCTGTGCTATTACCGCTACTGCACTACACTACTTCCACCACTACAACTACAACTACTACTACTACTACTACTTTACTACTACTACTACTGACTACTACTACTACTACTACTACTACTACTACTACTACTACTACTACTACTACTACTACTACTACTACTACTACTACTACTACTACTACTACTACCACTACTACTACTACTACTACTACTACTACTACTACTACTACTACTAGCTACTACTACTACTACTACTACTACTACTACTACTACTACTACTACTACGACTACTACGGCCCGAACGACTCACCACCCCGAACGGACCCGAACGACTCACACCAGGACGAGGCCCGAACGACTCACACCACGAAGAGAACGACTCACACCAGAAGGGGCCCGAACGACTCACACCAGGACGAGGCGCCCGAACGACTCACACCACGAGGAGCCCGAACGACTCACACCACGAGGGCCCCGAGAGCCCGAACGACTCACACCAGGAGGAGGGGCCCGAACGACTCACACCAGGACGAGGGGCCCGAACAACTCACACCACGAGAAGCCCGAACGACTCACACCAGGACGAAGAGCCCGAACGACTCACACCACGAAGAGCCCGAACGACTCACACCAGGAAGAAGGGCCCGAACGACTCACACCAAGACGAGAGGCCCGAACGACTCAAACCACGAGGAGCCCGAACGGCTCACACCAGGACGAGGGGCCCGAACGACTCACACCACGAGGAGCCCGAACGACTCACACCAGGAAGAGGGGCCCGAAGGACTCACACAAGGACGATGGGGCCGAACGACTCACACCACGAGGGGCCCCAACGACTCCCACCAGTCGTCGTCGTCGTCGTCGTCGTCGTCGTCGTCGTCGTCGTCGTCGCCGCCGCCTTCGTCGTCGTCGTCGTCGTCGACGTCGTCGTCGTCGTCGTCGCGGTTGTGGTCGTCGTCGTCGTCGCGGTCGATATCGTCGTCGTCGTCGGGTGCGTCGTCGTTGTTAGGATCATCGCTGTGGTCGTCGTCTCCGCTAAATCCCTCTTGCCTCCCACCGCTTTTTCTCCCTCCTCCTCCGCCTCGTCCTTCTCCCGCTCCCACCACAAGGAGGATGTACAAGGAGGCGGGAGGAAGGAGGAACAGGGGAGATATGCGGGGGCAGGCGGAAACACGCCTGAAAAACACGACTGCCGGCATGCTTCGCAAGAGTTGCTGTTTTGAGATGGGCTGGTGGGGATACGCGAAGCGTGAAGAATTTTGTATGGCAAGCGTCTGTCAAGACATGGCGCAAGGAAATCACGGTGTCTAGCAAGAACGATTGCGGAGCCCTCGGTATGGCTTCAGTCGTGCACGAGTCGTAAGCCAGATAGTGTTCCAGTGTGCGCGCGCATAAATGCCATTAAAAGTCTTGCCAAGTCCAACGATGCAAGACTCCTCTGTCAAATTCACGAGTTCGTGGTTCCCACCCCATCCTCATACCCCCTCCCCGTGGGTCAGGAAATGGACGTTCGCGAGGGGTTACAGCGCCCAAGATAGCCCCATATAGCCCAAGGTGGCCTCCAATATCGCAATCATAGCCCAGGGTAGCTTCCAACACATACCTCCAAGAGATTCCAAGAACACACCTGGGTGGCTCCAAGTGACCACGGTGCCCCCCCCAGGAGTCAAAATCCACACAAAGCTGCCAGAAAATCAATATGGTTTGCCTTCTAGCCTTTTTGCTTCCGATGGGCTTCCAACGCCTCAAGATGGCTCCGAGATCACCCAAGGGAGGCCCCAAGAGCGCTCCAGGAGCGCCCCAAGAGGGCCTCAAGAGGCAGGCGATTTTGAGGGCCCTGGCAGCGGGGGTGAAATAAGCACAACCCACCTGCTGTGATCGATGGCTTACAAGAGGTCCCCAAGAGGGCCCAAAGAGGGCCCCAAGAGGGCCTAGGTGGGTTCCATGAGAGCCCACGAGGGTTCCAACATGGCCCCAATTTGGCTCCAGGAGGCTCCACGAGGTCTCTGATTTCACCGTTGCTGGACTCGTTTTTTCACTCAGAGTTAACCTGCGCCCATTCTCCTGACAGCTCCCCTGGGCATCGCTTCTGGATGGGCTGGCGGGGATGGCGAAGCGTCAAGAATTGACGCACGAAGCGTCAAGAATTGACGCACGTCCAGCATATCAAAAGGAGGCAGGCCTCTGGGCCTTCAGTGAGTGGATGACCATTGGACTGGCTGGCAGAATTGTCAGTGTTAAGATCATGGCCAGCATTAGAGTCAGATTAGGGTGACAAATCAAGGACAGCAGGAGGGCGAGAGGTCGCGAGGCGAGAGGGGAGCACAGGAGGCGAGGCGCCAAACAGGGGGGAGGAGAGCAGGTGAGGAATGGAAGAAAGCAGAAGGGGGTGGAGGGGGAGGGGCGGGAGCGGACGTGGGAAGCGTGGCCGCGCCGCTAGGGAGGCCACTCTGCCACCAGCTTCCCCTGTGGCCTGCGCGGGAGGCGGAGCAAGACTGGCCGCTGGGGCAGGGCAGCGCACGACGAGGCGAGGCGGGGCAGACCAAGGCAGCTTCGCGCACGCCATCCGAAGGGCCAGGCCGCCGAAGGGCAGCTGGCCGAGCACACCCCCCGACGCCTCTCGGCGAGACGCGGCCGCCGCGGCGCATCCCGAGGCTGGATGCCCCGCCGAGCGCCGAGGAAGACGCCCGAGAACCCCGGGCGCCCCGAGCGGTCGAGTCACAAAGGGGCCCCGCGCCGGGACGCGCGGGCGCGAGGACCAGCCGCGCTCCGCCGCGGAGCGCGGTGTGCCCTCGCGCGGGGACACGGCGCCCCTTGGCGGGCGAGCCCGAGCGCGCGTGCCTCCTCCTCCTCCTCCTCCTCCTCCCCTCCTCCTCCTCCTCCTCCTCCTCCCTCCTCCTCCTCCTCCTCCTCCTCCTCCTCCTCCTCCTCCTCCTCCTCCTCCTACTCCTCCTCCTCCTCCTCCTCCTCCTCCTCCTCCCTCCTCCTCCTCCTCCTCCCTCCTCCTCCTCCTCCTCCTCCTCCTCGGGGGTCGGGGAGGGGAGAGGGGCGCGGGGCAGGCCTGGGCCTGCGCGAGCGCAGGCGGGCCCTGGCCTCCGAGTGGGGGGTGGGGCTGGCCCGCCGGACGGCCAGCGGCTCAGAGGGAACCCCTCCAGGCAGGCCCCGCGGGCGAAAGCGCTGCATGTTCGGATGTCGTCACCTAGGCCTCTCGCGCAAGGACGAAGAGCTGTCCCCAAAACGGCATAAAAATAAATGTTTGGCGTTCCGCGCGGTTTTCTTGGATCCGCGTTGGGTTCCCCATGGTGGCCCGCGCTCTTTTTCTCTTGCTGTGCCCAATCAGGCTGCCCTCGTCGGCGGCCAGGCAGCAGGACTGCGCTGGCGAATAGGGCACCGTGCACTTCGATTCGATAGAGCAGTAAAAAACGAAGAGAAGCAAACCAAGCTAAGCATTGCACTGCTCCGCAGAGTAAAGCGATTACAATCAAAACATAGCAAAGCAATGCAATTACATTTGGCAGCGTGTTCCTTGTTTATGTCGCCTGCTTACATCTTTTTCAGCTTGTCCGCAGTCTGATCATGAGCTCGGTTTCAGCTTGTCCGCCACCGTGCCCTTGGGCACGGAGAGGGCGTGTTCTCAGGTCCTTTGCCCAATCCCCTGAGCCTCAGTCCTCGATCCTAAAGTTTCTTCAAGGACCCGGACACCGAATTCCCAAATCTCCTTGGGCCGACCGCGGCTTCCCGCATAGTTGCCGCGGCTTCTCGATTGACTTGTTCGGTCCAGAGAGGGCCCGAAGACGGGCAATGAGGGCCTCAAGAGGCGGGCATTACACGTATTCGCCCGGGAGCCTTGTCGAAGACATAGATCACCAGCGCGCCTGGATACATGGATTGCTCTCCCCTGGGCTATTCGCCCCTATCGTCGCCTCTGATCACCAACTGTTCAGGGCACCTTCGAGAGAAAGTCTTCCCGCCCCATCCACATGGCATGGTGGGAACCAGGTGGGTCTGATATGCTCACCGACTTCCTGGATGACCACGCCAAAAGTGGCGGCATGCTGTCACCCTTGTCTGTGATCAGTGGCATCATTGTCCCATCCCCTTTCCTTCTGCCGCCCATCTCTCGTGGTCGGGCTAAATCAGGATTGGGAGCCTGAAAATCGGCACAAACACCAGAGCAAAGAGATGCCCCTACTGAAAGAACACGATCCTGGATTATGATGTTGGCTGTAATCTCTCGGCCCCGGAAGAAACCCAACCATTTCCACAATCACTGTCGGTGGTTGCAACAGCCGATACTGGTGTTGGCATCAACCTCTAGACTCCAAATATGGTCCGAAAAAACGAATCGACTCGACAGCAAGGGCGGCCCCGCGAGCGCCTTTCCAGCCGCCGTGCCATCGGCCTCTCCAGCTGCCTTGCCTCCAGCTGTCGTGCCAGCCACCGTCCTCGCCGCGCCGGTCCTGCCCAGTGACCGGCCAAAGCCCACCGCGCCGGCGTGCTGGTAAGCCCGCCAGACTCGACGTGCCCCACCCCAGGACGAAGCCAGGACAGGGACAAAATCGGACCGGGATAACGCGGGGATCTCTGAAACGCACTGGACGTGCAGGATGAATCAAGCGCCGCTGCCGTTCGAGGAGAACGTTCTGCAACGTTCTGAAGCGATCTTTCCCTATCCTAAAGCCGCTCGGCCCTGCCGCCCCTTGGCCCCCGCAGCCCCGTTCTTTCCCTCCCAAACTCCGACTCCAACCGTCTCACAATTTCCTGCCTCACCCCCTATGCGTCCTTGCACTGTTTCTCCCAAGGTCGGCGGGATGCACAATGGGATGAAACTGATGAAATGTGTGGCCGCCCAGAACTACTGGACGGGCCTGAACCCAACGTGTAGCATCACAGCAAAACCGTAAATTGTATCAGTAAGTTTGCTGATCGACTTCTGGTGGTTCGAGGGCCTGTTCACGCCTGCCCCCCTTCCTCCCCTCCGTCCACCCTCGCTGCCGCTGCGCACTCCCCGTTCCCGCGCCCCTTCGCGACAGCAAGCCTGACAGGCTCAGCACGAGTGCTCAGGCATGGAAGTCTGGAACTACTCGGACCGTGTCCTGCAAAATCATGCCGTGCAGTAGTTTCACCGGCCCCATGGCCCCCTTCAATAGCGGGCCACGGAGTTCGGCCCATGGCGAGCGGACAAATCGGCTTGGCCCCAAGGACGTCTGGGAGGCCAGGGGAGGCACGAGGGCCGACAATTCGAATCGGCGAGGGTGGCTTTTCAGACTGGTCGAAGGCAACCCCTCCCTCCTGGCGCGGGCGTCTTGCAGTCCTGAGAGGACGACGACCGACGGGCGACACCGATAACGGAGACGATGGCGGACTGTGGATGGCAAAGGGAGACTGTGTGGGCGTACTGCAGTCCTGGGCGACGACGGACGACGACGACAAAAACGGACTGCGGATAAAGAGGGCGGGGTGCTGCGCGGGCGTCCTGCAATCCCGAAGGACGAGAACGACGACGACGACGACGACGACGACGACGACGACGACGACGACGACGACGACGACGACGACGACGACGACGACGACGACGACGGCGGCGGCGGCGACGACGACGACGACGACGACGACGACGACGACGGCCTTTTGCGGATGGCATAATGGGGGGGCTGCGCGGGCGCCCTGCAATTATGGGGCAGGGACGGACGACGACGACGACGACGACGACGACGACGACGACGACGACGACGACGACGACGACGGCCTTTCTGTCCGTCCCCCTCCTCCTCCACCTGTCCCTCCCCCTGTTGTACACAATGTATGTTCTACGGCAAAGACTGGGGAAACCAACATGTACCGATACCGCTACTCCCTGGACCTCTCCAGGCGTGCGTTCTGACCAGAATTTCGATGCGAATCAAGCGGTGGCGACGAGGGCCTCCCAGGGGGCCCCTAAAGGCGAAAACATGGAAAGGGTAGCAGTATGGGTACCTGTTGCTCCTCTGACCTAGTATCAAAACAAGCCAGCATCCCGCCGTACGATGGCAGTTTGTCACTTCTGATGCTGTCCTCTTGATATGCTCCGAGCGGAGCGGACAGAGCGGACAGAGCGGACCCGGCCTCAGATTACTTGGGGACAATCACCACCAGAGCCGCCTAGCTGTATACTCGGGCAGGGCGAACTCACAGAAGGAAATGTTACGAAATGGCAATTAGGAAACTGATCAGATCGAACACACCGACCCTGCTCTTCCTTACCTGCTGTCTGTCTTCCACCTGCTCCTCATTATCCAAATAATCCGCCACGATGACCCCCAGCGCGTTGAGGCGTCGAAGAATGTCAACGGCCGACTTGTACCTTCTTGAAATCTAATAATGTGATCTGATCATCGGCCGCCCTCCCCCCCTACTAGCAGACTCTTGCGCGCATCCCCCCTACTCACCGAGGCCACGTTCCTCGTGTCCCGCTCGCGGATGGTGACTTCCAGCATGGCAGCTAATCCCTAAAACCCCTTTCCACGCGTGACAGCTCAAGGATGGTGCACTCCCCGCATGACAGCTAACGCCCGAACCCCCATTTAACGCGTGCCCGCTCGAGGATGGTCCACTTCCCGCTCGGCAGCTGATGCCTGAACCCCCCTTCCACGCGTGCCCGCTCGAGGATGGTCCACTTCGCGCACGGCAGCTGATGCCTGAACCCTCATTCCATGCGCCCCCGCTCGAGGATTGCGCACTTCCCGCATGGCTGCTTCCTCCTGGACCCTCATCACACGCGCACCCGCTCGAGGATCGTTCAGTTCCCGCATTCCCAGGCGCTGCTCCCAAGCGCTCCAGGCCCTCCCAAGTCACGATCCCTTGTCAAAAACAATGGATATGAGCCCCGAGCTTCCAAGACGGCCCGCGCAGGCAACCAAGGACACCAAGATGGTCCAAGATGCCTCGAGGACGGCCCAAGATGGCCCCAAGGCGGCCGAACCTTGCGTCACGACGGCCCAAGATGAGGGCCCAAGAGGGCCACAAGAACCTCCAGCAGTGTCCGAAGAAGCCAACACCATGAATTTCCATCGGGTTGATGACTAATATATGAATCGCCTTTTCGGGTTGCCGTCAGCTCAAGACGCTCCAAGAGGACTCGACGATAGCCCTAGAGGCATCCAAGACGGCCCCAAGACGGCCCAAGAGGGCCTCCCGTGGGACCCAGGACGGCCTTAGCAGTCCCGTCGACGGCCCAACATGGCGCCGAGACGGCCCCACGACTGCCCCCAGACAGCCACAATACGGCCAAGAGGGCCCCAAGACGGCCCAAGAGAACCCCAAGCCAGCGCAAAAAGACCCAAAGACGGCCCCAACGGACTCCCACACAATGCTCGGCTGGCACGGTGGTGGGACTTGCCGCAAGCAGCTGGATGAAATTACTCCCCCATCGCACTAGGACTCAATTCCTCGTATCACTCCCCCTTCAACGTCTTTGCCATCAGCGTTGTCACCCTCACTCGTCATTGAACCCTTTGTCGTCCGCCCCCCTTGTATTATGCCGTTCCTCCACCAGTACATAAACATTATCCTCATCATAGGAAAACCCATGCTCGCATTCAAACACCAACTCCTACGTACCCCACTCCCACGACACACCATATCCGCCAGTATTCTAAAGAGACTGCTTGCTGACGATCCCCCTCCTCCTCCTCATCCTCCTCCTCGTCCACATCACCATCACCATCACCACCACCTTCACCACCACCACCATCTTCATCGTCCTCATCATCATCAACAATAGCCTCATCATCAACAATAGCGACATCAAAGTCATCAACATCGTCATCATCACCATCATCATCAGCAGAAGCATCATCAGCATCATCATCAACAACAGCATCATCAGCATCATCACCAGCATCATCAGTTTCGACCCATCTTGATCATCCTTGTCCATATCACCACCCTGATCGTCATCAGTGCCATAATTGTCAGCACTGTCATCATCGGCATCTCCCTTGCAACATCATCTTCGTCGGCATAACCACCATCATCTTCATGATCCTGATCACCACCATCACAGCCACAATCATCATCCTCGAACCGAATCGAACTAGCTCCACTAGAGGCGCCCGAGCGGGAGCACAACAGATCGCAGAGGCCTCGGAGCATCGCGGCCAGCGAATGGGAAAACATTACATACGAAGCCGAGATGGCCCCTCGGGTGCTTGGGCCCGCTGTGCTCCTATACAAAGCGGCCCGCCACTGCGGCCCGCCGCCGGGCGGGTGCCCCGCGCGGGCTGAAGGTCCTCCTGGGAGTGCCTTTCCTGCGCTGCCTGAAGGCACCTCACACGTGCCTCTCCCAGGCGCCCGCAGGCACCTCCCACGTGCCCTTCCTGGGCTGCCCGCAGGCACCTCCCAAGTGTTTTGTTTGTGTTGCCCGCAGGCACATCCCACGGGCCTTTTCCTGGGCTGCCCTCAAGCACCTCCCACGGGCCTTCCCCGTGTTGCCCGCAGGCACCTCCCTCGCGTTTTTTCCTGGGCGCGCGCTCCACCTGCCCCCGCCCGCCCCGTCCCACAGAGCGCGCGGCCCCGAACGGCATCCAACGATCAAGGAACAGGCTGGGAGCAGGAGGACTGAGCCCCGCTCCACCCCTGGTAGTAACCCAACTTTCTCCCCCCCCATTCCCCCTCTTCGACCTACGACGACCCCCGCGACCCCCCCCCCGTCCCTTTCTTCGATTCAACCTCACAATCGGCAGGGAGAACCGCAACAGGGATCTGGGGCAGGGGAAGATTGATGTAAGTCTTCCCCTCACGACAATCCCCCAAGACACTTGCAGGGACCAGTCCTCTAGAGACCAGTTCCCTCAATCCGTCGCCGCCGATCAGGCCTTGCCCCCCATCGCCGCGAAGCGCCCTGACGCCTCGCCTTCCAGTGGGCCGCGGGGCGCCGGCCCCGACAGGATCACGCTAATCTCGAGGCCCTTGAGAAACTCGACGGCGCACCGACTACGGTTCCTGCTCCCGCCCTGCTGAACTTCACCGCCCACGCTCCGTACTTGGCATGGCCCCCGTCTGCGGTTTTGCTCTTGCGGCACGGGAACTGCTGGCGCATCTGTTCGATGTGTTTGGCCGTTGAATTCAAGATCAAGTCCTTCCAGAATTCGATCAGCAGCCTGCGAAACGCGGGAGCTGGGCGCCGACCTCAAGGCACGCTCGCCCGCAGCATCCAGCACACGCCCTTCGAGAACCGCCAGATGCGAAGGCCCCCGCGAGCCTTTCAATTCACCGCGTCCCTTTTCGTCTTTTTGGTTTTCATACCATTGTTTTTCTGCTCGCACTCGATGCCCTCGTTGGCCGGCTCGCCCCCCAGGGTGCCCTTGCCCTTTTCGTTCACCAGCGCCTCATCGGCCGAGTCCTCCAGAGAAGCCACCTGGCGCGCCATGAGCATGGCAAGCTTCGCCATCGCCTTGCACAGGGCCGCCATTCCTCCGCC